TTGATTATCACCCACCCAAAATACCCAACAATCCCCAGAAGCAGTGGGTTGAACACCACACAAGGTCTAAAATCATGTCCTTCATGATATGCCTGAAAAAATCATTGGTCCAATATGGGGTAAACCATTTAAGAACCTCATTAATTCTATAACTTCCAAAAAACCCTGTAATCAACCAGATTTGCATCACATAGCACGCTATCACATCAGATCGATCAACATTATATTTCAAAGGAAGAATAACATTGACTAGGTGAAAAACCATTGTAGAACCTTATGGGTGGAAAAAGGTATTGTTATTATCACCCACCCAAAATACCCAACAATCCCCAGAAGCAGTGGGTTGAACACCACACAAGGTCTAAAATCATGTCCTTCATGATGTGCCTGAAAAAATCATTGGTCCAATATGGGGTAAACCATTTAAGAACCTCATAAATTCTATAAATTCCAAAAAGCCCTGTAATCAACCAGATTTGCATCACATAGCACGCTATCACATCAGATCGATCAACATTATATTTCAAAGAGAAATAACATTGATTAGGTGAAAAACCATTGTAGAACCTTATGGGTGGAAAAAGGTATTGTTGATTATCACCCACCCAAAATGCCCAACAATCCCCAGAAGCAGTGGGTTGAACACCACACAAGGTCTAAAATCATGTCCTTCATGACATGCCTGAAAATATCATTGGTCCAATATGGGGTAAACCATTTAAGAACCTCATAAATACTATAAATTCCAAATAGCCCTGTAATATCCTTGGATCAACCAGATTTGCATCACATAGCACGCTATCACACCACCTCGATCAACATTATATTTCAAAGGAAAAATAACATTGATTAGGTGAAAAACCCATTGTAGAACCTTATGGGTGGAAAAAGGTATTGTTGATTATCACCCACCCCAAATACCCAACAATCCCCAGAAGCAGTGGGTTGAACACCACACAAGGTCTAAAATCATGTCCTTCATGACATGCCTGAAAAAATCATTGGTCCAATATGGGGTAAACCATTTAAGAACCTCATAAATTCTATAAATTCCAAAAAGCCCTGTAATCAACCAGATTTGCATCACATAGCACGCTATCACATCACCTCGATCAACATTATATTTCAAAGAAAAATAGATTTGATTAGGTGAAAACCATTCTGCAATGACCATTGTAGAACCTTATGGGTGGAAAAAGGCTTTGGATGGTTTCGGTTTGTATTTTGTGAAGGTAGCATAGGGCTAAGTGATCTATAGTGATCTCACATATCATCACTCTATCATGACAAAAAAACATAGGGTCTAAGATATGATTTTAGACCCGTGCACGTGGGTGTCTGAAGATTTTCTCCTGGCAATTGGTGGTTTTCCACAAGAATACCATCTTAGACCCAGTCCTGGGGTTCTAATATCTAGTCGTGAGGGTGCCTGAGTAGTACTTGATGGTATTGTGTTTTGCGATGTTTGTGGTCTACGTCTCCAAAGTATTGCGCCTGCCACGAAAAAGTGATGCCAGGTCATACAAAGTGCTGCACCTGTCACACAAAATCATGTTCCCAAAAGACTGAAGATCTGATGCTCCAGAATGCAGCCTCTCTCAGGAAATCAGCACCCTGACCTCCTAACATCTCTGATGAACATGTCTCTTGTACTGCGCCTGCCACGCGAAATGCATCTTTCCAGATCCTCTTCAAATGCCCCACGCCGAAACGCCATTAAAAAAAAACAATGTTTTTTAGCACCGCAAGCAAAAACACCGTAAATTACAGGTCCTTCAGTCGGGGGGGAGTCGACACGGGGTGGGTCGGCGGCAGGGGGCGCAGCGTCTACAACTTTCGGTTACCACCGAAGGCCTCCGGCAAGGACACGGGCTGGCCCTTGGCCGGCGCCCGGCCGCCGATTTGTGGAACCAGTCTAGCATCGCAGCTCGTGGCCGGCGCGCCAGTAGCCGCCGGAATAATAGCGACACGCCCAGCTCAAGTTTCCGGGCTCAGCGGGCTGTCGAGGCAAGGAAACGACTGCGAAACACGATCCAGCTGGAGGTTTCACCGGGCTCTGCGGGACGGCTCTCGG